CTTCGGGGGCTGGGCTGCTCTGCCCGGAGGCGAGGCCCGCCCCGTCCCCGTCGCCAACTGCCGCCCTGCCCTGCCCGGCGGCTCCTCTGAACTTTGTATTTTCTCTCCTGAGGTTGATCTCGGCCGCTCGTCACCGAGGGCTTCCCCCACCCACCCCTCGCCTCTCCGAAATCGGTATTCCCTCCTTCCCCTGCCCGGACGCAAGACACGCAGATCTGTTAAAATTTGAATGAGAGCTAACCTTTCATGAGCATTATTTTTCTTTTTTGACTGCTGTTACTGCCGCTCTTCTGTTCCGAGATTTTAGCCTTAGATAAACACAGGAGCCCTTTCAGCGGGGACCGCGAAGGGGGCCCGGAGCCTGCGGAGGGTCCCGAGCGCCCTCGACCGCAGCCGCCCATGTGGCTCCTGACGCCGAAATCACGTGTCTGCGCTGGAAATCAGTTCAGCGGAAACATTGTCAGCGCGTTGAAACATATATGTTAGTTTCCAGTGCACTGTAAAATAATTCTTTTTTTAAAATATTTTATTGACTTTTTACAGAGAGGAAGGGAGAGGGATAGAGAGTTAGAAACATCGATGAGAGAGAAACATCGACCAGCTGCCTCCTGCACACCTCCTACTGGGGATGTGCCCGCAACCAAGGTACATGCCCCTGACCGGAATCGAACCCGGGACCCTTCAGTCCGCAGGCCGATGCTCAGGTCAATTCTTAAAGGTATTTATATTCACAGGCAAGTAGGCCAGGTTTCAGCCGATGATAAAGTTAGTGTTATCAGTTGCCTTTTTAGCTTCCCTGCGGTGGGAGGGAACTCACAGAGCTTACCTTTGTTGAGAGTTGACATACTTACATCACGCCTTGTGCCAAGGCATGGACGCCTTTAGAAGTCGCCCTTTCTGCCCGGCCGGCCTCAGTCACGGTTGGGTTCCGTGCAGGAGGCAGGGGATCAGTGATTCTCTCTCTCAATCTCTGCCTTCCTCTCTGAAGTCAATAAAAAACAATTATCTTAAAAAATCAAGAATTCTACCTTTCTGTCAGAAATATGCAAGACATGCCCTAGCTGGTTTGGGTCAGTGGAGAGAGCATCTGCCCGCGGGCTGAAGGGTCCAGGGCAAGTGTTTGGGTTGCAGGCTCCATCCCCGGCCCTGGTTGGGGTGAGTGCGGAGGCAACCGATTGATGTGTCTGTCTCACATCGATGTTTCTCTCTCTCTGTCTCCCCTTCCCTTCCACTCTCTCTAAAAATCAATGGGAAAATAGCCTCCGGTGAGGATTAACAGCAACAAGAAATATATGCAAGACACTGGGGAGGAAGGACCACCTTTCTTATTCTTGAGTTGATGCTGACCGAAATGGTGTGTTGCTGAGTTGACCCGTGTGGATTCGGATTCTATATGTAAAACGCTATTGTAAAATAAGTTATTTGATCCAAGAACAAAGACTTGGATGGGAATGTATACTATGTCATCTAAACCAGAGTTGACAGGTTTGTGGCCAGAGAGTATTTCCGATGACAGCATTTTACAGTAAATCTGGTATGAGTCCATTGCTCAGTACTTTTCCGGAACGTAGGATTTTCTAGTGACATTCAAAGCTTTTGCCTCAAAAACTTGAATATCCTTAATCCTAATTACACAAAATCTACGTGTTGCCAAGTGTCTCAGGGGTTATGGTAAAATTCCCAAATACATAGTTTTTAAAAACAGTGGCATAGTTACACTTTCAGGGAGCTCCGTCAGGAGTTATTTAATTGAGCAGGTTAAGAATCACTGCAGTAGAGCCTAAACCATATCCTACAGCGTTTTCATTCTCTCAAACTCTAAAAAGAATATACTGTAGAAATAAGATGATAATCATTAACTCTAAAGTGGCCTTCATTTGGTTGTTCATGACAGTCTGCTGTTTAACATGGCCATAGCTGGTAATTATTCCCCAAGTGAATTATCCAGCTGTATCTGCATTTGCTTTTTGAGTGTTTTGTTTTGCTAACCAAATACGAAGTTGATAGCTTAGTCTTCTCATTTTGTTCAAATATATGAAATGTGTTAGATTTTCTTCAGAAAATATTTTTGCTTTCCTAGCACAAAAGTTCCCTTTTTCTACTTTCAGTTTGATATTAGTGTATCTCAGCTAAATGGCTTGCCTTATAGAATTTGAACCAAAAGAAAACTTGGAGTTAATTGAAACCAGTCTTATCAATCGACAAAACAAAAAACTGTCAAGGATGATGCTTCATCATCACCTTGGAAAACATACACTGTATTTTAACTTGTGTTAAATATTAACCCTAATTTTTTTCTTAATTCAAGACCTTTCAACCAAGGCATTCAAGGGAATATTGCTTAGTAGTGATTACGTATTCTCTTGTTTTCAAAGGTGGGATATGAACCTCTTCCTCCAACAATTGGACGAAATATTTTTGGGCGGCAAGTATGTCAGCTTCCTGGTCTCTTTTGTTATGGTAAGTGTCTTTGATTTATTTGGAATTGGATGACATTGAGGATCATGACAGGCAGGAGTTACTGAAAAAAATTGTTAGAAAGCATGCTTCCTTGAAATTTCTGTGTAACCCTTTCCTTCAAATAGAATTTAAATTTCTGACTTGTGTTCTTAGCTCAGCACATTGCGAGCATCGATGGGAAGCGTGGGTTGTTCACAGGATTAACTCCAAGGCTGTGTTCAGGAGTTCTCGGGACTGTGGTCCATGGCAAAGTTTTACAGGTAAGAAGAAAATCAGATAATCTTCCTACAGCTTTAGATTATCTTTTATGCAGTTTGTCCTACTTATCAATTCCAAATATATATTTATATGCCGTGGCTTTTCTTCTTTAAAAACATTTACATGAAATACCCATTATTAATTCTATCTTGGGAAGCAAAGGGAATTTGTGTGAAATGAAGTAATTGATCTTTATTTACACAACCTTCTTCCTCTGAACCTGTTGTTCTTTTCCTCACCTGAGGATATTGTTCCATTCATTTTTAGAGAGATTGGAAGGGACGGGGAGAGACGGAGAGAGAGAAACATTGATGTGAGAGAGACACATCTATTGGTTGCCTCCCATCTATTGCATGCACCCCAACCAGGGCTGAGGATCGAGTCTGCAGTCTGCCCTTGACCAGAATTGAACCTGGGACCCTTCAGTCCTTGGACCATGTTCTGTCCACTGAGCCAAACTGGCTGGGCTGAACCTGTTATTGGAGCAAAAATTAAATACATTTATTTGATCTCCTGTATAGCTGATTTTATTTCTTTGAAGAAGGAAAGCTGATTGAAACATAACTCATTCTGAAGTTATTTTCCTCTTATTTCTAGAGTAATCCCTAGTAAAATGCTTTCTGTTACAATTTAATTTTTTTAACAAGATCAACATAAAGGTCAGGATAATATTTATTTGTGGAGGGAGAGAGAGGAAGAGGGACCTTGCATAGGGTTCTGGGGTAATGCAAATGATTTTTCTTGACCTGGATCATGGCTATATGGATATTGCATTTTAATTACTTATTACATTGTACATTTGTATTTTGTGCACTGTTTCTTTATCTGTGTTACATTTGCATCAATTTGAAAATTTGTTTTAAAACCTCACTAAAGTATACAACAGCTGCAGGGTAGTGGTTACTTTGGGGAAGGGGGAAGAGGTAAGGGTGGAATTTAGCTACATCTGTGCATTTTATTTTAAGAAGGCAAGAGATCTTAAGCAAAAGGGGCAAAATGTTAACATCTATTTAACCTTGGTGGTGGATATAAAGGTGAATTATTTTCTTAATTTTTCTGTATGTTTGAGATGTTTCATAATGTTTTTGAAAGCATCAAAGTTACATTTATTTCTTTTTTAGTGATCCTTTGTTTTACCTGCTTCTTTTAACTTCAAATGCTAAAGCATATAATTTTAATTGTACTGGTTTCTCAGTTGCACCATTACAATGTACGTCAAACAGCATTGCCCTTTGCTCTATTTATAAAGGTGTTATGAATACAAATTTTATATCATTTAAAACAGTCTATTGGAAGGTTATTCAGCATTAGTATAATTGAGAATGCAAAATTAATGTTTTTTTTCCTAGTGAATTATTCTGTCTCCTACTGGTACCAAGAGTGTGTTATACTCTGTGTTATAACTCAAAAAATATAGTAGTGTATGCTAACCAAATCTGTATAATACTTTCAACCTATAATGTATCAGCTGTGCTAAATTCCAAATATTTACTAATGGCTTATTTAAATAGTACTCAGTATAATCCTCCTTGTAATTTTTTAGGCTTTAACATTGCCCCAATTCTAATGTTTTATCATCTGATCAGCAAATCATGATTTTGTTAAATAGTTGCATGACCTAATTGGCTTCGATTTTAAGTGCTTTTCAACCTTGATTTGAATTGGAGAGTTTTTTCAGTCAGTTTCTCACATGGAAACTATTTCACCCTCCAGTTATTTTAATATTCTTTATGTTATTCTTTTTTTTAAATATATATATATATTGATTTCAGAGATGAAGGGGGGGAGAGAGAGAGAGAGAGAGAGAGAGAGAGAGAGAGAGAAACAAACATCAGTGATGAGAGAAAATCATTGATCAGCTGCCTCCTGCATGCCCCACACTGGGGATTGAGCCCACAACCTGGGTGTGTACCCTTACTGGGAATTGAACTGTGACCTCATAGGTCGATGCTTAACCACTGAGCCATGCCAGCTGGGCTCTTTATGTTATTCCTGTTGTCGTGCCTGTGGACTGAATTTAGAAGCCCAGGTCCGGGTAGTCTATGGGTCAGAATGATGTAGTATTAATGATTTTTTGGTGTATTGATTACTGTTTCTTTTCTAGTCACACCCTACTCTGGGCTCAGGGAAAGTGTTGCTGTTACGTAAATGAGATTCACATACACAAAGGCAATTGTCATGTAGTCAAAGAGGTTTAGGTATAGACTGAGAGCAAAGTGAAATTACTGCTTGAAACCAAGTCCGGAAAGTGGGACAAACTTGAGGTGCCCAAATATCCATTGGAATATATGTTTCACGTGTAGTTAAACTAAAATAACGGGATTGGTACTACATTTAGTATCGAAAAGAGCTTATGCAGTCAAGAAGACAGACCAATTCAGGGTTGATGCAACTGTTAAACTTTATAAGAAAGAGTTCTATAAATCTGAACAAGTTAAACTGAAATCTGTTTGGAATAATGTAGAAGTGACAAGTAGAAAATTTTATTAATGGAATAAAAAGCAAAGTCTAGAAATGAGTGAGAATTTTTAAACATGCCCGAAACTATTACAATTAATTCTAGTCAAAGACCTCTAATTTGACCAAAAAACACTATTTTGTTTAATCTTGATCTTTGTTCTTTTGTCTCTGATCTTTAAAAACATAATTCTTTTTACAAGATAAAGTGTTGTCTATTTTTTTAAATTTGGTGTGACTAGGAGCTTAATTGTCTGAGTCTTTCATTTCACCTAGCCCATCTTTTATTTCTGAAATACCCCACAAATAATATTTCCTCTTTCAATATAATCTGAGCTCCATCAGTATTCATGTTCTCTTCCCTGGTAGAAAAAAGTCTCTCTTTGCTTGTTTTGGAAAGAGATACAAAAGACAATGTGAGGAGATTTCAGCTATTCAGACTTAGCACCAGTTCTCTGTTCTTTTGTACAGTGAAGAAAAGAGTCTTGCCCTAATTTGGTATTGGTCCTGCTTTTCTCTGTGAAAGACAGGAGGTTTTTTCCATGGCCTTAGTCCTAGGCTATGTTTTTAACCAATTTGTTTTCTGTTAAATGTATGTTTAGTAAATGATGTTCTTAGATTTTTGTTTTTGTTTTCCTTTTTCTCCTTTTAGATGAGTTTTCTTGAGCATTTGCTTGTCCCTTCAGCTGACCAGTATGTTAAACTTAGCAACAAGATTGTCTTAGAGCTACTTACTTATAATTGACTGTTAAAATTAGAAGTTAATGGGAGATTTGCAGCAAAAAAAAAAAAAAAAAGGTTTTATTTTCTACCAATAGAGTTTTCATTTTATGTCCTCTCTCAGTGACACTGTGAAAGCCCTTCTCATCCTTTCTTTTCTTTTCCTTTGCAGCATTACCAGGAGAGTGACAAGGTTGAGGTATGTTAGAGATGATTTAAATGCATGGGCCCATTTCCCTTGCAAGTTATTCTTCTGTGGTCCTCTTTAGGAGAAGGGGCAAGCAGGCAGTCTCCCTTTCATCTCAGTGAATGTTGGCATAGAGGGTGACCTCCTATTTAACAGTTCTATTTAAAACCATCAAGCTATGTCTTTTATTTGATTTCCAGGATTTAGGACCAGGAAATGTACCAAAAGAAGTCCCATCTTCCTTCGACCAAGTTATCAAGGAGGTAAGAGATGAGTTATGTCCTATGCTATTTCCCTAAATCAGAGGATGTGCAGTGTGGTGGTTGTAGGATCAGGATCATCAGGCCTATCTGTGCAGTGTCTATTCCAAATGGAATTAAACCTTATATATAATATTTAAAAAGAAAGAGAAGAAAAGTATTGTGTGCTGTTTCGAATATGTACATTTCAAGGAAACTTAATTTTGCCACTCATTTCATCTTTAAAATTGAAGAGGTTTCTACTAAAAGAGTAGAGTTACAATTCTCTGGTACAGAGATGTTAAAATAGTGGCCAGGCCCTTTGTGTGTTGGATATTATATATCCAGAAATGCTTTTGCAACATTATTCTGACTTTGGAAGATTCCTCATGACCCATTTTCCACTCTTAGACTCTGCCATTGGAGTCTGTTTCATTCCTGACATAATATTTATGGCTTTCATAACTACTCTTATTTCTTAGTCTTTACATTGTCTAATTGTCTTTAGTAAGATCACAATTTTCTAGTAAATGCTGCCGTCTAAAATATATATTCCAAAACAAACGTTACTTTAGGTCTAGACGTCAGATGAATCAATTTGGTTTTCTTTGGAGTGAATTGCCTTAAAAGTAGAGATAAATGTATTAATAGGCATTTGGTCTTTTCTTAACTTTAGTTACCCATCGTGTCTCATAGGATATTTTCAGTATTACCGCTGGAATAGGAGTGAGGAATGTCTTAACTTAGTGACTGAAGATAATGTTTACATTCAAAAATAAATAACTGACCTGATCTGTTTATAACTGCCTCCAAGTATTGTAATTTAGCTTTCTTTACTACCTTTATATGGAGTCCTGTAAAAAGAAAGATAAACTAGGATAAATATAGCAGCTCTAAGATACTGCAGGGTTATAGGGTTGTGGTAAAAAAAAACAAATCAAAGTTTTGTTCTCCCAGAGATGTTGGTACAGATAAAATTGAGCCTCACATTTGTCTAGCATAGTTATCAGTCTCTGAAATCACTCACGAGAAAGCCACTTAATAATCTGAATACAGGCCTCATAGTTTTATTCCAGCTCAGTGACTGCTGTTGACTCTCCCTGTTTCTTTAATTAATTAATTTATTTATTTATTTTTATTTTATTGATTTCAGAGAGGAAGGAAGTGGGAGAGAGAGATAGAAACATCAATGATGAGAGAGAATCATCGATCGGCTGCCTCCTGCACATCCCACACTGGGGATTGAGCCCACAACCCAGGCATGTGCCCTGACCACTAATCAAACCGTGACCTCCTGTTTCATCGGTTGACGATCCACCACTGAACCACAATGGCCAGGCCCTCCCTGTTTCTTTACTTTTGTTTTTCTTGTCTGAAAAATTAAGAGGATAATAAATCTTTGCCAAGAAACTTTAAGCAGTAACTAAACATTGAAATCCATGAATGAACGGTATGATACAGTGATGGCGTGTTATATTGTAACTATTTAAACTACTTATTCTTCCTGTCTTCAGGGCAGGGGTGCTGGTCGCTCACTTTCTTATTCTACAATATCCACCCACATTACTTCTCACAGGAATTTGAGTGTCATTTATTTAGATTTCAGAAGTGTGTGTTGATTGTTTCTAGACAACACGAGAGATGATTGCTCGTTCTGCTGCTACCCTCATCACACATCCCTTCCATGGTATGTTTGCAATTGATAACTGAAATCTGATTTCTTCTCTTCTATAACATGATCTCTCCTGACTGCTTAGTCAGTGGTTCTCAACCTCCTGGCCCTTTAAATACAGTTCCTCATGTTGTGACCCAACCATAAAATTATTTTCGTTGCTACCTCATAACTGTAATGTTGCTACTGTTATGAATCGTAATGTAAATATCTGATATGCAGGATGGTCTTAGGTGACCCCTGTGAAAGGGTCGTTCGACCGCCAAAGGGGTCGCGACCCACAGGTTGAGAACCGCTGGCTTTGATGGTTGGCATGGGATTTCAGTAAAGTGCCTTGCCTGCATGTTTTTGTATGCTTCATGTTTTGGCTTTAATTTATTCAGAAAGCAAAATGGCTTTATGTGGGAAAACCTTTTTTTTTTTCAGGGCTATCAAAATTTATCTCAGTGTAGTTTAAAAATTTTTTTTCCTCTGTGTTCTGTAGTGATCACTCTGAGATCCATGATACAATTCATTGGCAGAGAATCCAAGTACTGGTAAGTGTTTTTGTTTTCAAGTATTCAAGGAAATCTATTGAAACCAATGTATTAGAATAATAGTGCTTTATGTTGTTATGTTGCCTTAGTGTTTATAGAACAGTTCATATACCTTATATCATTTGATCTGCATAAAAACCAGAAAATAGTAGAAAATGGCCCAGGCAGGTTTAGGAGCCTACCTGGGACCTCATAAGTTACAGAGCCACTGAAGCCAAAATTCATACTCGCTCCATGTGACAATATCCTTAGGTAGTAATACCTTCAGTTCTGTGCCCAAAATCAACCGCCTTTGCAGAGTGAGAGTGATAAAAGTGGGGGGGGTGGGGGGGCAGATTTTGACCATGTCAGAAATGATAATTGGATATTTAAAAAATAGCTTGAAAAGAATCTTAATGTATTTTACCTTTCTTTCCTCTGTACCTAGTGGACTTTGTGACTCCATAGTAACCATCTATCGGGAAGAGGGCATGATAGGATTTTTTGCGTGAGTAAATTGCTGATTTGTGTATGTGATTTTTGTAAGTGGAAATAAGGAAAATTAATTTTTGAAAAAAGGGGAAATCATCTAATGTGTATCCTGAGAGAATACGTTTTTGTAAGGGTGTATCAATTCCCTTGAATTTACTTTGAAAGAACTTAAGATTGCTACCCTCTTTTTTTTTTTTTTTTTTTTTTTGATAAACAAAAGCCAAGTTTATTTGTTCATTTCTTGCATTTGAAGTATTCCTCGATGACATCCTTTGCCTGAGACTCTTTGCCATAGTCCTTAACCACCACGCAACTGCAACCAGCCACTTTACGGGGTTTTCCCTCTCTGTCGATTTTACAGAGGCCTACCCATTCCCCTAGTTTCTTGTTGTCGTCAACCTTAATTAGGTTGATTTGGTGTTCAGCACAAAGAGCCTCCACCAACTTGACGTACATAGGCTCATCACAGTTGGATGCAAGTACACAAAGGTGGGCTTGGCGCTTGTCTAAGGCTTTGGCAGCTTCGCGAATTCCACGCGCGAGGCCATCGTGGATGAGGGCGGTCTTCAGCACCTCTTGCAAAGCAGTATTAACGTCCATTACACCTCCAGCAGCAATGCCTTCCTCGGCCATGGCGGTGGGTTATGGGTGGAGCCGAATCTTGAATGCACCCAAGCCTCCGCCTCCGCGCAACTCCGCGGCGGCAGGGAAAGAGGCTACCCTCTTTTTTTAATTAATAGTAAAAACTGCATTATTAAGTAAATAATCCTTTTTAATTTTCAGTGTTTCTACATAATTGATTTTATTCATGTGTCATAAGTACTCTGGGAAATGGGCAGAACAGCCATATTATTCTCATTTTAGATATATATATTTTTAAATGGATGCTCTGGGAGGTTCATTTGATGCTGGTCATACAGCTGATGTGTTAGATGTGACATTTGAGTCTGGTCTTCAGTCTGTAGACTAATATTTGTCCCACTATTCCATACTCCCCCACAAAGATCACTGAGACTCTCAAAACATGGGTTTTTTATGTCTCTTACTTGTACCTGTGTTTGGATCATTTTAATTTTGTAATTTTTTTCATCTTTTGCCCTGCCAACTTTGAATATAAAATATAGTTTAGCAAAAACAGTATTTAAGTCTCTTCTCCAAAGTAGTTGTTAATAGTAAGGTGAGCCATTGGCCATAGATTAGAGGAGTATGGCTGGCCTGCATTTTAAAAATAGGAATGAAAGTCCTATTAGAGATTAGCTTCAAGGACAGTTGTATCAACTAGAATGAGGGCTAGGTTCTGGTATTCAATGTCTTTTCCATTCTCTAGAATGTTTTGAAATCTCTAATTCTTTGGGAAGTGTTTGGATTATCTTTTTATTGATCACACTTCTTAATTCTTATTTTTATTGTTTCTCCATGTAGGGGTCTTATTCCTCGCCTCCTAGGTGACATCATTTCTTTGTGGCTCTGTAACTCACTGGCCTACCTCGTCAATACCTATGCACTGGACAGTGGGGTAGGTTGTGACCTTGATGAGATGTGCTAGTGCTGACTTATTGTATTTGCTCGGCAGCTAGGTTAGCTTTAAAAAGTAAGATGGCAGTTTATTATGTGCCAGACTCATCAGACTCATCATTATGTAGCTAAACATCAGTCAAGTTTTCAAAGGCTCACGGAATGACCCATACTATTTACCATAGAGAATGCCTTAAAAGTCCTCGGTGTAGCAGAGTAAGCCCAAGAGATTTATCCCTGTCTCTGCTGCAAGGAGATTACTTCTTTATTGATAGCTAATTGTGGAGGCCACCATGAAGCAGGACTTTTGTAGTTATTCAGTGTGTTTTATCTAATCTGAAATGATAAGGTAACTCCTGTATTGGGCTTTCTAGAAACCTCAGTCTGGAAGGTTTGGGGAGTCGGCCTTTCCTAGAAGTAATGTTTCCTCCACTCCAGCAGTTGTGGGCCTCTTTGTACACAAGCAGTCCCTCACATGGTGGAAAATAGAACAGACCCAGGGATAGGACTAAATCCATGCTGTAAGCTTCTTGAGTACAGAGCCTGGTCTCCAAAGCATCTGGGACCCAGCTGGGTGCACATAGAGGTATACTGTAAAAGGAATTTTTGGAGATTGTATTTCTAGGACATGGGGAAAGGTTACGAATCTCATTTTCTTTTGAAATCCTCAGGCTGTTACATTGGTTCCTAAGCCATCTTATAAATTCATCTACTGTGAATATGTCTACTAATTTTGAATCAAATTCCTCATTTTGACCACTATCTTTTTATGTTCATAATCAGTATTTTATGTTTTCATGCTCAAAATAAATTTTCAAGCTGTCAAACTGATAATTTAGAGATAGGATATATGGATATGGTTGGGGACAAGTAGCTGTTAATATCAACTTCATCTCATTATTCATTCTAATAAAGGCTTCCTTTCTGTTTTAGGTTTCTACCATGAATGAAATGAAGAGTTATTCCCAAGCTGTCACAGGAGTGAGTTGCTGTTTTTTTTTTAATCCTTTTAACCTAGGAATTTTGTGTGTGTGTTTTTTTTAATTTGGCCTGTATTATCACTGCTTTAAAGCAACCAGATGTTTCCAGAAAAGTCAGATTTGTTAATGTTTGGCAGAGCTAAGAATAGCCCAGAGTTCCTACATAACAGTACCAGTGATAATGAGCCCACATGGTTTGGTGTTCAGCTTTCAGGAGAGGGATGTGGGCATTCTCATGACAGCTTTCCCTGATTCTCAGGGCTGCTTCTCCCTGGAGCCCGTTGATCTTACCGTGGAGAAGGCACCCACTTTAGTCATATGGAGCCTTCCAGTAGTTGACTTCCGAAGTCATTTTCATTGTCTTTGGAAGGCTACTCATGTTTTCTTTCCTTTTTAAAAAAATATATTTTTATTGATTTCAGAGAGGAAGGGAGAGGGCCAGATAGAAACATGAATGATGAGAGAGAATCATTGATTGGCTGCCTCCTGCATGCCCCACATTTGAGATTGAGCCCACAACTTGAGCATGTGCCCTGACTGGGAATCAAACTGTTAACCTCCTGGTTCATATGTCAGTGCTCAACCCCTGAGCACACTGGCCGAGCATGTTTTCTTATTTTCTTCAGGGGTGTTTTGAAATTGTATTTAGTTATATCTGCTTTTTCTCTTAAATACTGTAGTTCAGTTTTACTTGAATGAGGACTCAATCACCAAAATAAGAGAATTCTTCTGGCCTTTATTAAAATGTTAGCTATAGTGGTATATTAAGAGAAGGAAGCATCTCAAGCCGAAAATTTGTCATTTAGTCTTTCCTGGAATACTGAAAAAGCAAAGCCAGTATTGGAGTATTTGACCACAGAGGCGCTAGGTTTTTAAGGGAGAAGAAAGAAGAGAAAAAAGGAGACTGATGACCTAATAACTTAGCTATTGTTTTACTGTTTTACAGTTTTTTGCCAGTATGTTGACCTATCCCTTTGTGCTTGTCTCTAATCTCATGGCTGTCAACAACTGCGGGTAAGTGCTTTGCATTTCTTCTCCTGGTAGTTGGCTGCTGTGTGCTTGACAGGCAGAGTGGTCCTGGTGGAAATGTCAGGGAGAAAAGTACAGTTGATGCTATTCCTAGATATCCAATTTTTTTTCTCTGTATGTCCCATGTATCAGCAGTGGCATTAATCTATAATAATAAAAGGGTAGTATGCTAATTAGACCGGACATCTTCCAGACGTCCTTCCTGACAAAGCTGGGGCCGAAGGGAAGCCAGGCTTACATGTCAGCCCGGGCCTGCAGGCGGTCCGAGGGAAGCCAGCCTGGGCCCCTGGTGCCTGCGGGCAGCCCAAGGGAAGCCAGTCCAGGTTCCAGGTGCCTACTGAAGGGAAGCCAGTGCCGGCAGCCACGGGAAGGAAGGCCTACTCTTGCACAAATTTTATGCATCAGGCCTCTAGTTTATATTATAAGTGGCCACCTCATATTCTTTTTTTGGAATAGGGAAAGCATAGATAATGTTTCTCAAGTCCTTAAATATAATATGCACTTGCCATTATAGGTCCTATTTCGAAAAGAACTGGATAATTACCAAATTATTCTATTTTTACATCTTTCCATTATTTTAAATCTTTATCCTCTTTTTCTTGAAAGTTACAACAGGTATATCAGGGATTGAATGACAACCTGTACCTGTTTTTCCTAGGAGAAAGTGAGTTTTAAAGAAAGAAAAATGGGGAATTTGGTCCATGGAAAGTTTCTTAACCTTTCAGTGTATTGGTCAGGAAGGATAGGTGTGGTGTGGTGCTGGACACCATTGAGTTCAAGCTTCTAGATGCCAGGTGACCATACCAAGTTGAAACAGGTTTTGCCTCTTGATTCGATTCAGGAGAACTCTGTTCTAATACAGTACTTGATACAATATACCATTGGACGTGTATGTCATTGTTTTCCAACAAGATAGCAACTGGAAAGCTGTATGGAGTTTTGAGCACAGCTGTCATCTATAATAATCTTCTATAATAATAAAAGCATAATATGCAAATCAACCAAACAGCCAAACAGCAGAACAACCGTCTGGACGACCACACTATGACACGCACTGGTGCCAGGACAGCCAAGGCGGGTGCGATGCGATTGGTCAGGGGGCCCCGCCATCGCTCCACGATCGCCCCGCAAAGAGAGACCCAGGCCACCCTCTGCAGGGCAATTGATCAGGGGGCTCCGCAATCACCCCAAAGAGGGAGGCCCAGGCTACCCGGCCTGTAGCGCTGCGGCAGGTGGGCAGGGTCTCCCTCTGCCTGGGGTAGGGGGAGTGATCAATCCGGGAGGGAAGCCCAGTCCTGGGTGCTGGCAGCCAGGAGAAGGAAGGCCTACCATTGCACGAATTTTGTGCATCAGGCCTCTAGTATTTCATATCATGTTACATTCTGTTTGCTTTGATTTGTAGAGTAGCTGCCATATTTTAGCCCAAAGCATACTTGAAGGACAAGTTAAGTGTGTTTATTCCTTATAATTTTTGGAGAGGAAGTGATTATATGTGAGTAAGAGCATGTAGTCACCACTGTTATATCCATTGTCATACTTAGGTGCCTTTTTTTTCCCTCACATAAAAGTTTAGTTTATTAATCTTTTCATGAAAAATCTGCACAGTCACCACAGATAAAGTCCTGCAGAACCTTTACTCCTTCTTTTAGCCAACACCAACATTGCCCTTTGCAGTCCCCTTGACTTTCTTCATTCTGTTCTTGCGTTCCTTTCTGTTTTCTTGAGGTTGTCGTCTTCTCATTTAGGCCATGTTTTGCAAGTCTATATGTGGGTTCATTTTTATCTGCGTAATCCAAGGAATCATAAATCATGCCAAAGCCAGTGGTCTTACCACCACCAAAGTAGGTTGTGAATCCAAACACAAAGATGACATCAGGTGTGGTCTTACACATTTTGGCTAGTTTTTCCCAAATTTCTGTCTTGGGTACTGTTGCCTTTCCAGGGTGAAGGACATCAATGACCATTTGCTTCTGCTGAAGTAGTCTGTTGGTCATTAACTTCCTGATCCATATAGTTCCTGTGTCATTCATGATGAAGGTTGATCTTCAGGCAGCCAGGGAGGAAAAGAGAGCCACTGTTCCCTCGTTAGGTGCTTTTAAGCACCACTTAGTTTTTAAATCCCATTTTCCTACTCTTTAGTTATATAATGTGTTTTAGAATTTCATATCTCCACAAATTAAAAACCTAGATGTTTTAGAAAATACATAACTGAAGTTTATTCGTTGATTTCAAAACATAAATATAAGGGAAATTTATTAGAACTAAAATTGCCTCTCAGAGAAACTTCTAGGCAGAAGAATGTTTTGACAAAGATTTACTGGACTCTTGAGAGAATGTTTTGTGAATATTAACTTGAATGGCTCATCTTTATTTCTATTTCAGGCTTGCTGGTGGGTGCCCTCCTTACTCCCCAATATATACTTCTTGGATAGACTGCTGGAGCATGCTACAAAAAGAGGTACTTCTCTCATTCTCTCTTCCTCTCTTGCCCCTATTCTTCCCCTCTTCACACACCCCCTCCTCCATATATTTTACTTTATTTTGTTCTTGTTTGTTTTCTTAAATAATGTTTCTGGGATCTCAGGTTAATTCTTGTAGCTTACCTTTTAGCTACCAATCACTGTGCCCTTGACAGTGTTCCATATGTCATCTGGCATAGTAGTAAAATGTGCTGCTTAGAAATCAGCAGGGGTAATGAAGAAGCAGGAATCCCTAGATGTGATCCAGATGCCTTTTGAGTGATCACATTCAAATTACAAATGGGCTCTGGGTAAACGCTTATCCTGGTTGTGAAAATGATAGCCTTGATTTCAGATTTTTTTCCCCACTTCACCTTTTTGTAACTTCTCAGAATCTCCTTATGTATTCAAGTGTTTTCTCACAGTGTGGTAGTAGTAAACGGAGAAATGAGAAGTTGTTTATGTCATTATTTGTTCACAATGATGTTGATAGACCTGATCTCTTACTGCTAGAGACTTAGTCCCAGTTTTGTCCTAGTCATTTAGTTATGTCTCCTAAATATGTTAGTGAATCATTTTGTTTTGACTCCAATTTATTGTTTGTTATTGCTGTGAGATATATCATCTGCAACCAAAAATTCCTGATCACTCTAGGCAAAGTTTTATTAGGAACCAAAGTAATGGATGGCTGTATGCTAAATTTAACACAGGACCACTTAAAATTGCCATCAGTTTAAAGCTGTTTTTGAGTAGAAAGCACTTTTTTTTTTCAATCCTTACCCAAAAATGTTTTTTTTCACTAAGTTTAGAGAAAGGAGGGGAGAGAGAGAAACACTGATGTGTGATAGAAACATCAATTGGTTGCCTCACATAGGTGCCCCCAATAGGAATCAAACCTGAAGCCTTTCAGTGCACAGGATAATGGTCCAACCCACTTAGCCATACCAGCCAGGGTAAGTGGGTAGCACTTTTTATAGGATTGTAGAAGAAAATATATGAAGAAACTCTTTGTTTCATTATATTATAGCACTAGTGATACATATGAGAAAGGCCTTTGTTCATAAAGCTCAGTGCTACTGCAGTTGTTTATGCTCAGTGTGCATACACAACAAGCCCCTTCTGAATCCAGACTAGAATTCTTTTTATTTATTTTTTATTTTTAAATATGTATTTTTATTGATTTCAGAGAGGAAAGAAGAGGGAGAGATCGAGGTAGAAACATCAATGATGAGAGAGAATCATTGATCGGCTGCCTCCTGCTCACCCCACACTGGGGATCGAGCCCGCAACCCCAGGCATGTGCCCTTTATCAGAATCGAACCTGAGACCCTTCAGTCCGCAGGCCAATGCTCTATCCACTGCGCCAAACCAGCTAGGGCCTTTTTTTTCCTTTATGTTTTTATTATAATTTTATTTTTAAATATATATATGTATGTATTTTTTACCACCTTTAAATATATTTTTATTAATTTCAGAGAGAAGTAGGGAGAAAGGGAGAGAGAAACATCAATGATGAGAGAGTATCATAGATCTGCTGCCTCCTGCATGCCCTCTACTGGGGATGGAACCCACAATGCAGGCATGTGTCCTGACCAGGAATTGAATGTGTGACCTCTTGGTGCATAGGATGATGCTCAACTAAGTGAGCCACACTGGCTGGGCAAAATAACCATTTTCTATCATCCTACTTTACATATGGGAAAAACTGGGATTTTGAACAGTTAAATAACACCAATTATGTAACTCAAGGTTACACGACCTATATTTGGGAGAGTGGGATCTATGTGAAGGCTATCTAACTTCACAGTCTACTCAGTTAAATTCACACATTACTAATTTAATTATAAGATTGTATAACCACTTCCTAGAGACCTGACCATTCCATTAAAAAATAAATAAAAGCACCTGGCCAGTGTGGCTCAGTGGTTGAGTGTTGACCTCTGAACCAGGAGGTCACAGTTCGATTCCCTGTCAGGGCACATGCCCAGTTTACAGGCTAGATCCCCGTGCAGGAGGCAGCCGATCAATGATTCTCTCTCATCATTGATGTTTTTATCTCTCTCTCTCTCTTCCTCTCTATCTAAAAATCAATAAAGACATGTATTTTTAAAAATGAATAAAAGCTAGCACTTACTGACTGTTAGGACTGTTCTCAGCACTCTCTATGTAGTGATTCATTTTATAGCCCAGCCAGCAAGTGTCAGAGCCAGAGTCCAAACTGGGAATTTTGTCTAAATAAGTAAGAAATTTTTTGCCTTATCTATGTGGCAAAATTGGAGTTAGTTCCACAAAAGCTTAGCATGAGTCAGAAAGTACAAATTGCTACTCTTAGTGATCGTTGGTTTTGTCCTAGCTGCTTAGTTACATCTCCTAGAAACATGTCTAGAAGGATCTCTACTGATTTGGACAGGCTGATCTCACCTTCACACTAGATTTTATTTGTATTTATTTGTTTTCCAGGGAAATATGAGCCGAGGAAATAGCTTGTTTTTCCGGAAGGTCCCCTTTGGGAAGACTTATTGTTGTGACCTGAGAATGTTAATTTGAAGATGTGGGACAGGGACAGTGACATTTCTATAGTCCCAGATGCACAGAATTATGGGAGAGAATGTTGATTTCTATACAGTGTGGCACGCTTTTTTAATAATCATTTAATCTTGGGAAAATGGAGGTATTTGGTGTCTGCCTTTTTTTTTGTTCTTTTTCCCAGCACAGCATAATTTACCACTAATATTCCCCCTTTAGTTATTCTGAAATTGTACATTTTTGCTCCAGACTCTTTATTTTACTTAAACAGGGAAAAAAAGTTGCATTTTCCTAACTATTGTCATGTGATTTGGTCTTAATTGAAGGCTTTGTAAAATGAAGAGTACAGTCCCAAGAAGAAAGATAAATACTGTAAAATTTCAGAATAGTAAGGCAAACTGTATGGGAGGTCATGAATGACCTTTCTTTAGTACACCCTAAAAACTCAGCAGCAGCAGTATCCTCCAGAATTTGCCTCCCATTATATGCTTCTAAGCATTTTTTATTAATCCTGTCTCTCATACTTCATAAAAGGGACAATCCATTGCTAAATCACCCTACAAAATCTCTACATGAAGCATCCACACCTTCAGTCTGTTATTGCAAAGTAATAAATTGTTGTCAACAGAAAAAAAAAAAAAGACAATTATAGAGAATAAGCAAGATTTGGAAAAGAAGCATACTGGCTTTTTTCCCCCCAAAGAAATTCTTGTTATTTAAAATATGAAAAGCAAATGCTGCAACAGTAGCCCCTTCTCTAAAAGCTAAGTGTTTTCCAGTCCCTAAATGACATCATTACATAGTTCTAATTGTATATACTCTTGTTCTTCAGTTTTTGTTTTGTTTCCTTTTTGTTGCAGAAGGTGAGTAGTTTGTTTTTCATTCCTTATGACACCCTTGGAAAGTGTACTTGTAACTTCATATCAGGTGATGCAGTCCACAGGGTTCTTAGGATATTGACCACCTCGCATGTCATACCCTCAGTTAGGCATGTTAACAGCATTTATAGAAGGGAAAAAATCATTTTAGGAGGCAATGAATTTCAACTCAAGCATAAAGCTTCTATTTACTCAGGACTTTTAAAAGCAGGTTAAAATGCTCCAAGATGAGAAAGCATGTTGTTTTACTTATTTAAGTAACCCACTAGGATGTTGCCAAATGAGTAAGCACTTAATTTGCTGCTTCTCAGATTTCTCTATGAAAGCAGCAGCCCCCAGGATATCCGACTGAGCATGCAGGTCTCTCCTTCCCCAGGGTTTAGGAATCAGCCTGAAGCTCATGAGTAGCTTACCTTGAAATGTCTTTGATGTCTCTTACTTTGTCTCAAAACGTGATGTAAATTTTATATTCTATTCAATATTATATGCATTTGTTTTAATATAAAAATGTTTTGCATTACCCATCTTTTTCCCCAAAAAAAATCTTCAAGTAAAGATGATCTAGGAAAATGTGCCATGTTTATTATCCTGTGGCTTCTGTGCTCATACACGCCTGCCTCTTCCTAGTTGAGTCTGACTGTAAGGACCATTCTACCACCAGAGGGCGCCAAGACTCTGGTTTTGCCTGTGCAAGTTGGGCTGCTAAAATATTTCACCAAGGCCTGGAATTGTTCTAAGTACTAGTCTAGGCAATCTGATTACATCCAAGCAATAGGTCCGATAAGGGTGCTATTCCTATGTTCCTCATTAAGTTTAAAGGCTATTCATAGAATAAAAAGTCTGAACTTTATTCAGGGGCTAGTAAATTCAAAGGTACTCTTAAGATACATATGTAAAAATAATGAACTGACTCATTATATGTGTAATATAGAGTTAGATGAGGGTTATCTAGTAAACCGCACCCGTGACACTGGGCAAGTGCTTTGCTTTGGCAGTGCTGAGCAAAAGTGCCAGGAAATATCCCCCTCTAGGGAGTGTGATGGTCATTGGAGCCTTGATTAAATGAAGAAAAGAATGAGGGGTTTCCTGGAACTTTTGGGGTGGTTGTAAAAGCAACCTTACAATGAAATAAACTTTAAACATAACCCTATATTCCAGCTTCTTACTGTTACCTGAACATACGTTGGCTTTGTTGTGATCTACTTTAGAACTGTCTTCCTTTCCCTCTCCCATTGACATTTGTCCTCTATAGTAAGAATCAGCTCTTGTGCAATCTCCTTGTGAAGTCTCTCACTCATAATCCTAGTTTGAAGGTATTTGCTTCAAACTCCCCTCCCCCAAGTCCCGTAATTACAGTATAAACTGAACTGACAAAATGGAAACTACATCCAAAACCAAGTGTAAGGCTTACCCAGCAGGGCGTTACTTCTCTCTGATTTGAAATTCTGTGAAAATAATTACATTTAGCCCTTTTAGACAGGCCCCCTAAAACACTGGACTTTATAGAAAAAACTAGCTGATCAAGGAGCAGCAGTACATGCAGTTGGTCAGTCTAAGGTGAGGGAGCAGGAAGAGAGAGCTTTGAGAAGTAATAACTGCCAAGCCTGTTGCATAAGTTTTCTCATAATCTTTGGTGGAAATAAAGAAAATGAGATTCAGATTAAATTACTCATTCAAAACTGCAGAGCAGGTTTCAAAGCTGCATTCAAACCCGAGTTTCAAATTGTAAGGTCTATTTACTGCTTCATGGAGGCTGAGGGAAAAAATCAGCCAAATGAACCAAATGGTAAGTAAGTCATCCATCTGAAGAAAAAGGCCCAGCTCTTAGTGAAAGCAGTGAACTGAAGAACAGGCCTCCCCTAGGACAGAGAGCAGAATGGTCTTAAATCAGCAAATACATAGTTCTTGCCTCAGCAGAGTGATAAACAGGTGAAGTAACTGAGAATAGATACGATTGCCATGGCCCACCTAGACTGTTATGATGGTTTATGCAGCTGGAAAGCAAAGTTCTTGTATAATTAGGATTTACTCTTTAGGAGTACTATCAGTCCTCCTTATTTGGATTTCTACCGCTTTTGGAGGATAACATTTCTTCAAAGTGATCTATGTGTCAGCTCCTTTGATGGATTTTTCTAGAACATCCTTGTATATTAGGGGGCTTTATTCAGGCTGCCTTTCTAAATGCCATAGTAATTTAATCTTGGAGTTTTTTGTTTTTTAAATATAGACAAAGATGAGTGTTTATCTCCTTTGCAGAGATTTTTCGGGTACCTAAGAATGTCACATGTGACATCTCATTACCCCCACCCCCATTTGGCCCCACATCCTATTGTCTCTTCAGATTTGAGATAATCTTGCACTCTGATTTTAGTCTTAAGGGGAAATTTGCAAATGAAAGATTCTTCTGCCACCAACCAATGCCTTCTTTTCAGAATATTTTTGAAGGTGACTGATTGAATTTCTAAAGCAACTGAGTGTTTTCCTTCCAACAAACTTTGTCCCTAAGAATCAGCTTCCTCGTCTGTCTGCTGCCTAAAGAGATGTCTTGGGGAGGCCCCCACACAGTGTACTAGTCTTCCGTGATTCATGGCCACGAGCTGAAATCTTGGAAAGCCCATTTTGCCTTGCTCTCATAGTGCATTCCTCTGCAATCCAGGCCCAGATCTCCAGTGTGGGACCAATTAGGCAAATTTTAAAACCACAGTTGTTGACCCAACTTACTACAGCCCTGAAAAAGAGTATTTTCAAATAGATTCAGGTCACTATCACCCTCCAAAATATGGTTGGAGAACAGGGCTTTAGAGAGTGTCAAGGAAAACAGGTTGAGAAAAAGAAACGTGACCTGGAGGTGCTATTCAAGACTCACCAGCCCTAACCGGTTTGGCTCAGTGGATAGAGCATCAGCCTACGGACTCAAAGGTCCCAGGTTCGAGTCTGGTCAAGGGCATGTACCTTGGTTGCGGGCACATCCCCAGTGGGGAGTGTGTAGGAGGCAGCTGATCGATGTTTCTAACTCTCTATCCCTCTCCCTTCCTCTCTGTGAAAAATCAATAAAATATATTTAAAAAAAGACCAGCTTCCTGAGAGGAAGGGCAAATACTGAAACAAGCCCCACCCCTCCCAAAGTCTCCACAATGACAGTGGGTAAGAGGAAGTTTTCTACACCAATTCCTGCTCACTAAGGCAGCCAGAAGAATGTTCTCTGGTCATGCCACATTTCCACGGAAAATCTACTTGGTATTGCAGCTTGTTTCCAGACAGACTAGCATGAGGAGCTAAAGGTCAAATAAGGACAAGAAACAGAATTGTACCTACTCACTTTCTATCCAGTCTGGGGCCCTGCCCTCCTGGCGTCAAAAAGACTGGGGAGAATGTCCTTTGGCTAAAAATGAAAAGAGAAGGTGAAAATGGAAACAACAGCCACACCTCACTGCATACTGCTCACCTCCCACTGGAATTTGGTATTTCATGCCTTTCCTCCCCCCAAGGGACTTAAACTTTAGAGTTTATAAGTGCAGCCCTCCGTTATTAAACGTGTAGCCAAGGCAAAGTCCTGTGGTAGGGTCAGGGGAGAATGTACAGCGTGCAGTAAATCTCTCCCTGTCCTCCCTGGCACTTACTGTGCCCTGAGGGAGGGATGTGGTGTGATAAGTACAAAAAGGAGGAATGGTGGGAGGATTAAACGGAACCATATGTAGAACAAAGCCTGGTGCACTGAAAAAGGACAGACACTGAGTTCTGGAGACACGCTGCGGTGACTATGGTACAAGACAGTATGTGCCAGGAGCTGCTGAAACCAAGCACCATGGGCTCCCAAGAGGGGAAGCTCACATCCCATTGGGAGAACATGGGGAAGACTTCATGAAGGATAGGATACTAGGGAGCAGGATGGTGAGATGGGAACCATTTCCAGCTCACTTAGTAGCTGTGATACCTCGGGCAAACTCCTCACCTCTAAATGAGAGCAATTATCTTATTGGAGTATTTTTTAAAATATATTTTTATTTCAGAAAGGGAAAGAGAAACATCGATGAGAGAATCATTGATTGGCTGCCTCCTGCACAGCCCCTACTGGGGATCGAGCCCACAACCCAGGCATGTGCCCTGACTGAGAATCGAGCCATGACCTCCTGGTTCATAGATTAATGCTCACTTATTGAGCCACACCAGCTGGGCTTATTGGATTATTGAATTTAATATAGTATCTGAGAAAAAATTTGGTATGTGACAGCTGTTATCTAAGAAGAGGAGAGGATATCTGACAAGTACAGATAATGTGGGCAAAGTCATGGAAGTGATGGAGGCTGAAGAGTGGAATTGCATCTCTTCAACGCTGTATTTGAAGCTCATTTGAATAATTCGCACCCAAAACAGTAACTGTCACATAGGACTCAGTAAATGTTTGTGAATAAATGGATGTCCTTCAGGACCCTGAAATTGAATTATATCTCAACCTTCCTAAGTCTGCAGTGGTAATTGCATCCACAAACTTTATTAAACACTTAATTATCACCCTGTTTCCCAAGCTAAACACCCTGGAGATGACTGAGTCCTCCCACCCTTCCCTCTACTTCTAAGAAGTCGCTGCTAGGTTCTCAGAAATGCCTCTTGGATTTGTCATCTTCCCTCCATCCCCACTGTCTTGGTGGATCATCTCTGCTCAGCTGTTGCAGCAGCCTGTTATCTTGTCTTCCTGCCATCAGCGTGGCACAGTAGGCAGTAGATAAGCTGGAGCTCTGCCGGATGACAAGGCCTGGAGGACAGCTACAACTGCCTGCCTGTGCAAGCTTCCGGCCAGGGGTAAGATATTTCTGACCCGCATTTCTTAAGACTTCTTGCCCTAGCGTCCTAAATCTTTACACCCCGAGCCCAAGCCATACAGTCCCAATTCTACAACCTCAGCTGCTCTGCGCCTCTGTACCTCACCAGTAGTTGTTCCACTGAAGCCTTGCAAGATATTTATAAATAGAAAGTGGGTGTAAAGTTCTGCAAATGTGTCAAACAAGGCTAATTCCATCTCCATTTGAGCTTTGAAATTCCTGTCCACCTCTTCATCTTCCATCTTCTCTCAAAGTCTTTGATTCCTGCTCTCTCCTTGTTTACGGCCATGATAAACCTGGAAACCATGATGGCTAAGAGGTGTGACCTGAAAGAGTGGGAAAACTAAATGGATTCATCATGTATAGACAACTGTGCAGAGTAAAAGCTATTGAAATAACAAATCTACTTGCCACCTAATAATAGGGTATTTGTTGGTGGCCTACTACATGTCCTGCCCATATATTCATTAGCTCCAACCCATAAAACAGCCATTTACTGGTAAGCAGTATCACCCCTACTTTACTGATAGATTTGCCCAAGGCTGGTGAATGACAAAGCCAGGATTCAGACCGAGGCCTGCAAGCCTGGGGAATTCCTAATATGCTGTGCACATGTATTGAGTCCTACTGTTTTTCTGCATTAAAATAGGGGAACAGATTTAAGGAGTTGAAACTTGATGAACAGGCACTCGTGATTTTATAACAATAAAAGGGTCAACATTGTATATTATGGTTGCATGGTCAGAAACCCAACAAACTGGCCTAAAAAAAAAAGAATTTATTGGCTCAAGTAGCAGAAATGGCCAGTGGTTAATCCACTGGTTCAAGCAAAGGCATCAGAACTCCCATCTTCATCCCATGGGTCTGCCTACCTCTGCCTAGTTTCCCTCAGGCAGGCTCATTCCATGTGGCAGCAACATGCCAAATGGCGTGTTGGCTTCTTAGGGCTTGTTATTCCAGAGAACGAGCTAATATCTCTTAGGGAAGCTCCTGGAGGACTCTGGCCTCAAACACAGGTCCATCTGCAAGCCATTCAGTACTCTGGCGTACTCGACTGGCCAGACCTGAGTCTCAGGCCCAGCTGAAGGGGTCAGGATCCAGCGTCAGCCCCACTGGAACCTTATACTTTGAGCTGGAGCAGCACGGCTCATAAAACAACTTGTTAGTAAGGGGCAGAGCAAGAATTCAGACACACCTGGGTGTTTGACAGCAAAGCTTGCATGCTTTGCACCGCAGCACATGGGGGGGCGGGGGGGGGCAGACATGGAGCCTTTGGTGAGACTGAAAGATGAGCTCTTGGATTGGAAGCTGTGTCCCTGTGGGAGCTCACCTTCAACTGCCCAGCCGTGCTCTGAGGGCAGGATGGCACTGGGCTGGCAGACGGCCTCTGCCCTGGCCACCAGAGTCCCCACAGCTACCTGCTGAGCGACAAATCCTTCACATGCATCAGGGACAGGGTCCTCTCTCAGTGGGAAAAACAACTACCATGGAGCTGCTGCCACAACCTTCCTGTGACCATAGGCAAGAATTGCCTCCTGGTGCTGTGGGTATAACAGGAACCACAGGAGAAAGTCAAATCAAGAAAGAGGGCATGTGGGGCATGGAATGGGTGGATGAATAAAACATCCTAGGAAATAATTTGAAAGACAAAATTATTTAAATATGTTTTTATTGATCTCAGAGACAGGAAGGGAGGGGGAGAGAGAGAGAGAAATATCAATGATGAGAGACAGTCATCAATCAGCTGCCTCCTACTGGGGATCGAGCCCGCAACCCGGGCCGGGAATCGAACCCTGACCACCTGGTTCATAGGTCGATGCTCAACCACTGAGCCACACTGGCTGGGTTAATTTTAAAAATTCAGAGAAAAATTAGGATCCCACACTTAGAGACTTGAAGTGGGGATGTGGCACAGGAGAGACAGGAAGCTCTACAATAGGCAATGGGGACAGCCCACTAGCAGAAAGACCTGGGACAGAGGGAGCGCCAAAGAAACCAATGTGGCTCTGCAGAGAGCACCTGACAGGCTCGAAAATTAAAAGGCAGGGATGGAGCTGAACCCGTGGAGTCCCTGATACATTGAGACTTGGAAAGGATGTAGAAAGTGAAAATGTCGGTTATATTCAGACTAAGGAATAAACAGAGGAAAGGATCCCTCAGATGAGGTGTCAGGCTGGCCTTTGTTGGAAACAGATTTCTTCATTGTCCCCTGAGGAAAAGCATTTCTGAACTGGAATGAGTAAAGCAATACAAGGTTTAGAGGAAATTGAAACCCCAAATAAAAGAGATGGGAAGAAAAAAACCTAGGCACCTAGCCGTTTAAAATGAGATGCAAATCTGCCCTAACCGGTTTGGCTCAATGGATAGAGCGTCGGCCTGCGGACTGAAAGGTCCCAGGTTCGATTCCAGTCAAGGGCATGTACCTTGGTTGCAGGCACATACCCAGTAGGGAGTGTGCAGGAGGCAGCTGATCGATGTTTCTCTCTCATCGATGTTTCTAACTCTCTATCCCTCTCCTTTCCTCTCTGTAAGAAATCAATAAAAATATATATTTAAAAATTTAAAAAAAATGAGATGCAAATCCCAAGATGCCGAAATACCTTTGCAGGTAACATTTGAGAATCCTTGCCAGTGTAGCTGATAAAAGGAAAGGGAGCACAGTGAAGGATGGCTGCAGATGTCCTGATATTCAGAAGACAGGAAAAAATAGATACTGGAAACTCTAGGTGGGCACATTTGAGGTAAATCCCCCAAAATTTATTCTAGAATACAATATTAAACAGAGTTTGAGAACACCTAGAAAAATAATCGGTACCTTCACTAAGAACAGACACAGTAAATAATACCAACCACAATTAATTATTATTTATTTGGAAGGCCACTAGGAAAAGTCCTTGAACATAGTGTACCTTGTTTCCAGTTGGACATTGAATGCCTCCGATTGAGGAGACAACTGGGAAAACTGATCTCAGAGATCGAACAATCAGCTGGATTCATACCTCTCCCCCAGTTGGTTGTCCAGGTGATGCAAATCTGGAGACGTCTTAAGTTCCATGCTTCGGGGCTCTGCAGGCTCTGCACTTGGTCAGCTCAGTACTTACCAGTGCCTGCCACACTCACCATGTCTGCAGATGGCACCACTTACTGAGAGCAAATGCTAATATTTGTCTGAATCAAGATTCTAAAGCATCTTGAAACAGTGGCTGAAACCTACAGGGTGAATTTAAAAGAAGTGAAATGCAGATGCCATTGTGTTACAGTTGCCTACAGTATCCAGTACAGTAACATGCTGTACAGGTTTGTAGCCTAGCAATAGCCATTCATACCATCTAGGTTTGTGTAACATTTTATGATGTTTGTACAATGACAAAATCTCTTAAGGACACATTTCTCAGAATGTATTCCTGTTGTTAAGTGACCGAAGACAGTATAAACAAACCTTGTTACTTCTTTACTAATTTACTACCCTAAGCTCAAATTCTCAGATTCTTCACTAATTAAGCACCCAAACCTAGTTTCTTTTGTCTTGTCAATTTCTCACAAATTTATTGTTTCTTTGTAAAGAATAAAAATGGCCTCCTTTGGTCATTTCTTGAGCTTCCCTTTGTCCCCCGCAAAAAAGTGTGAAGACCTGCATTTAGGTTTTTCTTTTTAACCAGCTGCGTAAGCATAGGAGGAAGGAAGTTTGGCTTGACAGTGATGCATACAGGAAAAGGCTGAGGGCTTTCAACCAGCCTCAGGTTGAATAGAAGCCAATAGGAATGGAGCAGCTGCTTAAAAAGATAGTGGTTCTCCCCACCCATTTTTATTTTAGGTACAAAAGGGTGAAACAGTGAAAAGTGTGTCTCTCCCCCATAACCATTTCTCTTCCCAAGAGGCACCTGCTGTTAACAGTTTCTAGTAGATCCTCTGAGATGTATTCTATGCACATAAAAGCAAATGCATGCTTTCTTTTTCTTTTTTTACATAAAGGGCAGCATGCTGTACATCTTGTTTTTCACTGATCAGTAAATCTTAGAGATTATTTCATATCATTATTCAAAATGACTCCTCATTCTTTTGTAAAGGATGCACAGTATTCTGTATATATGTGCCGGAATTTATTTAATGGGCCCTCGATTGCTGGACCTATAGATCATTTCCAGTGTTCTGCTATTATAAACAATGCTTCAATGAATGAGTAACTTATTTCAAATGTGTTGGCATGTATCTGAAGAAGAGCTGTCTGAGAAGTAGAATCACTGAGTGAAAGGGTATACACATTTTAAATTTGGTAGATATTGTCCAGTTGTGACCACTAACAATGTATGAGTGTCAGTTTTTCCACCTCCTTACCAGCAGATTGTGTTATACATTTTATTGCTCTTTGACAACCTGAGGGGTAAAAAAATAATGGCATCTTAATGTAACTTTCTTATTCTAATACTTTTTTATTGTTTATATCCTTTACCCATTTTTCTACTGAATTGTCTTTCTTAGAGCTCTTTGTATATTAAAGAAATTTTGTGATACGCGTTACAAATGTTTTCCAGTTTGTAGTTTGTCTTTTTATTTTGTTTCTGCCATGTTTTCCTGTTTTTCTTTTTTAAAAGATTTTTAGAGAGGCAAAGAAAGAGAGAAACATCAATGTGAGAGCGAACCATCAATTGGCTGCCTCCTGCACACTCCCTACAGGGATCCAGCCCACAACTTGGGTATGTGCCCTGACCAGGAATTGAACGAGAAACCTTTCAGTGCATGGACTGACACCCAACCAACTGAATCACACTGTCAGGGCGCTGTTTTCCTTTTAAGCTGTATAATAAAATACATATCCATCATTTTTTTGACTTCTGGAATATATGCTATAGTTCAAAGTTCTTCCTCAGGAATTTTTTACAAATCATCAGTTGATTTTTCTTAGTACGAGTCTGGAGACCACTGGGTTCAGCTATGTGATTCCTCTTCATGGTCCCTTGTGCAGTTGCAATCAGACAGTGGCTGTGCCCGGAGCCATATTGAAGGCTTCCTCACCCGTATTGTGAGCAATTGATGTTGGAACCTCAGCTGGGAGCAGGGACAGTTCTTGGGGTATAACTTGTGCAGCTGCACCAGGCCCCACACTTAGGTTTAATGCCCTGTTGTCACTTAAATTCTTAATTTTTTAGTAAGAGGCCTGCATTTTCATTCTGCACTGGATCTTGCCAGTTAAATAGCTGGTCCTGACTGGGGCTGTTGGCCACAACATCTATACTTTCCAGGTGGCCTGGGCTTTCTCAAGCGTGGTGGCTGGGTTCCAAGTGGGAGAGTTTCCAGAAAGAGACACAATATCACCTTTTATGACTGAACCGAAATTCTCCTAAGGTCACAGTGTAAGAAGTGGGAAGAGATGCTGCCACAGCTGTCCTTGGAAAATGCAGTTTGCCACATCTGGTCATGAGCAGGTCACTTCCCATCCCTGGCCTCAACCTCCCCATCGAAAAGGGGGGGGGGGGGGGGGGTGTTCAGTTCCCCTCTGGGAAAAGGCCAAGGGAGAGTTGGGACCTTGATCCACTCCCAGCTTTCCCCTCCCAGTACTCAGGGGAATTGGAACCCAGCCCATCAGGCCAGGAGCCGACCTGGGAGCTCTGACCATTTCCTCCCCTGGAGGTCTGAAATCTCCAAGGAAGGCAGAGACTCGGCACCCTGACATCTGTTTCTCCTGCCAGCATCTTTGCTTGGCTGACTACTCCTCTGCTCTCATTTCTCCCTGGGGCATGTTGTCTCATTAACTTCCCTTCACCTCCCAGCACCGT